CTGCCCAGGCGGGTCTCGAACCCGCGGGCTCAGGCAATTCACTCACCTCAGCCTCCCAAAGGCGCGGGATTACAGGCTGAGCCACCGAGCCCAGCCCTATCACATTTTAAAGAGCATTCATCATGCCCCGTGTATGTGTTCAGATGCCATTGCCTTTGCTGCCTTTAGACAGTCGTCTCCTAGAGAGTAATGGCCTGTCTGGTTCTCCTTGTATCCAGAACTGACAAATAATGAGTACTACATGAAATTTTGGTTGGGAGACATTGTGATGGGAGGACAGTTTATTCAACTACTTATAGTAAGATGAGGAAGTGAGACAAAGAAAGGCATGTTCATAGAAGTTCCAGTGGTTCCAGACTACTGGAGCATAGAGTATGTGAGGCAAGTAGAGAAATCCCTTGGACGGAATCCCAGGGTCACGAGTGTTTAAAGGACTTGAGAAAGTGGTAAACACAACTCTTTAGGTCAGTATATGGATACCGTCGCATGGAAAACGCGACTTACAATGCGAAATGAATGGTTGTCTTTGAGTTTATTTTAGACTGTGATCTGAGTTCTCAGAGTGGTTAGTGCTACTGTATGCCTGTATTTATAGGAATGCAAACACAGTTTTTAGGATGGCAGTATTCCTAGAGGCCAGAATGGAAGAGTGCTTCTTTATAGACAAATGTCTCAGTGCAGTTGGCGTGGCTTTGTTTTTGAGTGTGTCTGAAGGAACTTCTGTGTGTGCATAATTTTGTTACTCTTCTTTGTGTGTGTTTGAACTGTTTGTGTATCAGTATGCTTGTCTGTGTCTTGTTTGCTGTGGATGTGTGTTTAGGTCTATGTCTCGTCTTTTCCTTTCACAGAATACTCATCATACCATCTCAATCCTTTTCCATTCTTCCTTCTTTCATTCCTTTTTTTTTCTGGCTCCCTTTTTTATTCCTTATTGAGTATTTTGTCTTTGTTCCTCTCCATACTTCTTCTTTTTGTTTCTATTTCTTTTTACTCCCCTCTTTTTCCTTTAAACTGAATGTTATATACAAATGATCATTCTAAATAAAATGGAATATAAAAAAATTATGAGCTACCTAAATCATGGCATTTCCTTTACTGTTAAATGAGGAAACTCAGAGCCAAATTTTTATTCATTATTGAAAGTGCTAATGGAGTCACAATCCGAAATCTTTGTGTCATCACAAGTTCATCTCTTTCTTATGGAATTAGTCACCAGAGCATATCCATTCTTCCTCCAAAATAGTCTTCTAAACTTACACTTTTTCTCTAATCCCTCTGCTGCTTCCCTGGTCCAGGCCTTATATTTTATATTTGCTAATGAAATCATGTCTTATCTTAACTCCCTGCTTCTTTTCTCATTCACTTCTAAGTCACTGGACATATTACCATTGGCATTATCTTTAACAAGTGCAAATATAATTATGCTCTTCTCTTTGTAAAATTCATGCCTAAAGTTAAATTTGAAGCTCAATGACCTAGTATTGAAACCCTTATGATAAGCGGAGTTTCTTGCATTCACCCATAGAACCAGCAATCCTGGGTGACTTGCAATTTTCTAGATGCATTTATTTCTTTTCTCAAATTATTTCTTCCATCTTGACCTCCTGTTGAACTCCTGCCACTTAAGCCTGAATATGGCCATGAAAGAGAATAGATCAATCTCCTAACATTCCTGGAAGTTCAAGTTGTGGAGGTGGTACGTACTCGAGGCAAGAGAACACTATTGTCTGGAGCCTTGGTCACATATTCTCAGTGCCATCTCCTGATGAGTTGAATGGGGCATATTGCTTTTACCTCCCTGCAAAGCTAATCAAATGGCCTTCTTTTGTCTCTTTTCCTTTGGATTGCACCTTTTTCTGGACCCTTCCAGGGTCATGACAGTAGAGGGCATGGAAATGCAAGCTCAAGGATAAGAACTCTCTTTTTCTCTAAGGGTGAGGGCAGAATTGGCTTTGCTTTTTTTTCCTTCTTGGTGTCCACCCTGTTCCTGATGGGTCTTTCAAGGGTGGTATGTAAGAGGGCAAGTTGGAAGCATGGGGGGAAAAGTCTTATTGCACCAGCTACATGACAGGGAAGGGAGGAAAGGGGGTTCAGAGGAAAACAAGCCCACAGCAGGACTTTTTCTATAAAAATCGGAAAGTTCTAACTAAATTTTTACGATTGAGTAAAAATATGAAAAGGGCTATGAAGATGTCTTCAATAAAGGATGATTCTTAGGCTGGGATTTCAGGCAGAAATGAAAATGTATTAGAGTGGTCAGGATAAATACATTTTAAAATATAAGTAGAATTAATTGAAGAAGGAGAAGAGAACCAAGATTTATTAAGTACCTGTTAGTGTTACCACAAATTAATCTTTGTAAGAATTCCAGAAGGGAAACGTTATTGTCTACATTTCACAGATGGAGAACAGACTTAACAGTTAATTGGCCAGTCTAAGACTGTGTAGCAGTAAGTTGCTGGGATGGAATCTTGAAAACATACAGTGTTACTATTTTGTCTCAGTATCTTCAGAACTTCTATTTACTGTACAAAATTCTCTATTTAATGAATAGTGAGATGAATACAATGAAAGTGAGTATCAAAATGTACTAAATATTGGGTCTCGTCTCCACAGTCTTCTTTTCTGCAGATTCCCCTCACAGGGATAAGACCAGAACTTGTCTGCAATTCTATATGGCTTTATGTTTTATATTTTAGGACCAGTGATAAGAGGAGAAACTTGGCCAAACAAAAAGCCGAGGCTCAAAGGCGGTTGTATGGTCAACATTCAATAAAAAGGCTTTTACCAGGCTCCTCAGACTGGGAACAGCAGAGACACCAGCTGGAGAGGCGGAAAGAAGAATTGGTATGAGCATTTTAATACAAAATCCACAATTTGAATTGCTTGATTCATTTGTCAGGTTTTTTTGATGTCTGTTTGAGACAGGGTCTCCCAGGCTGGTCTCGAACTCCTGGTCTCCAGTGATCCTCAGCCTCCCAAAGTGCTGGGGTTACAGACGTGAGCCACTGCCCCCAGCATTTGTGAGGTTTTATTTGTAAAATTTCTTTTTTTCTAGAAAGAGAGACTTGCTCAAGTACGAAAACAGATCTCGCGAGAAGAACATGAAAATCGACATATGGGGAATTACAGGTAACTACGTTGCTGTTTTTTTATAGATTGAAAAAGTGAAGTGTGAAAGCAACCATTCTAACTTTTTTAACCTTTAGGCTTATTTGAGCATGGCTTTTTCATTTTGAGAAAGTGCTTTTTGATTCATGTCTTTCAAGAAAGACAGGTAGTCAGCAAGTAGATGGTTCAGACCGGAGAGATCTCCTGCCAGCCTCTGGGGTGGTTGTGTAAACCTCTTTAACCTACTTCTACCTTGTGGCTGCATTTAGTTATAATGTGGTATTTGAAATTCAGGTCTCCTAGCCTTCTTCCTACCAGTTCACAGTGGTGGCTGTACTTTGGCTAAATGCAAATGTTTCAGGAACCAGACATAATGAAAACGTTTGAAGGAGCCAGGTATGAGACAATAGAGAGAGGCGTGGACTGTGCTGAACTGAACCCTTCCACACCATCACCCTCGACAGGATCAAAAGGGGACCCCGCAAGCTCCTTGTGTTCTTAGAAAGATCGCTCCTCCTCTCCACTTTTGACACTACCTCAGCAAGATTAAGGAACCTGTGAGGGTGTCGTTTCTTGTATTTGTGGGAAGACGTTCTTTGCTAGCCTTCAGACCACCAACAGCAGTGATGAGGCCACCTAAAAGCCACCCTGCCTTTACCCAGTCCTCTCTAACAGAGAGGCAAATTCTGTCACCACAAAAGAGATAATCTGAACAAATGCTTTCCTTCTTGCACACCACACTAAGTCAAAAACCTCTGCTTTGCTCCTCATGACATGAACTATCTTCCGTAAAGTTTGATCTTTCTTCAATTTTCCCAAATGTCATTCTTCTCCACCCACTTCCCCCCAGCCAAACCTTATAGAGTACCTCCTGGAACGGCATTGTTTAATGATAATTCTCTAGGTAAACTTACTTTGTGTGGGTAGCAGACCAAAATTTATAACTCCTAGCTGTATTCATCTTTATTTCTAGCACCGGGTGGTATGACTGGCACAGAGTAGGAGGTCAAGGATTATCTGTGCCTTTGACCTTTAGCAATTGAGCTATGATCATCTCTTTTAATCAGTTTGGTTTATTTGATTTTATTGTAGGCGAATTTATCCTCCTGAAGATAAAACACTACTTGAAAAGTATGAAAATTTGTTAGCTGTTGCGTTTCAGACCTTTCTTTCAGGAAGAGCTGCTTCATTCCAGCGAGAGCTGAATAATCCTTTGAAAAGGATGAAGGTAAGAAGAGAAAGGAGAGAAATAAGAAGAAAAATGAGAAATAGAGAAAAAGAATGAAGCTGAACAATGTATTTTTAAAAACAACCCACCTTGGTTCTGCATATAAAAACATTTTACTTTTTGTGTGTGTGTGTGAGTTAGAGTCTCACTCTGTCGCCCTGGAACACTCTTGGCCACCCCAGCATCAACCTGCTGGGATCCAGCAATCCTTCTGCCTCAGCCTTCCAAGTAGCCAAACTACAGGTGCACGCTACCATGCCTGGCTAATTTTTTTCTTTTTTATTGTAGAGATGAGGTCTCGCCAAGGTGCCTCAGGCTCAGGCAATCCACTTGCTTTGGCCTCCCAAAATGCTGGGATTACAGGCTGAGCCACCGAGCCCGGCCAACATTTTACTTTTAAGATGCATTTTCCTCAGTCTTTTCATTTAACCATTGGTAGCATCTCACAATAAACCAAGCGATTTCATAAAATAAGATGTCTAACTGGACAAGTTATAGAGTAGAGAATTTTGACATTATTTTGTAATATCAACATATTGTGACATGTTATTACCCAGATGTGTATATGTAACTGGATAAAGAAATCCATTGAATTAATCTAGTGACTTGTGACTTTCTCATTATTTGTATTATAACTAGCATTATCCAGTATTTTTTCTTGATACTATATAGTCTTGTCATATGAGAGGATGTAATTGGAGTGTACACACACACACACACACACACACACACACACACACACACACACACTCACACACTGTAATCTGTTTACCTTAATAAAATATCTATCAGTTTTCTATTTCAGCATAACAAACCATTTGTTTGCTCATTATTCTACAACCTTGGCTGAATATAGTGAAATAGTTCTTCAGCTTGTCTTGCCTAAAGTGACTCGTGTAGCATTTATATGAAAGCTCATCTGTGGCTAGACATCCAAGGTGGCCTCAGTCACATGTCTGGCATGTCAGATAAGATAGCTGGAACCTTTGGGAGGTAGCTGGGTCTCTCTTTGTCCTTACATGTTCTCTCAGCAGGGTAGCCAGATCTCTTCATACAAGAGCTCAGGTTTCCAACGGGTAGCATTTCAAGAGGATTCAGGATTCTCTTTATCCTAGCAAAATCTCTCTGCCTGTTATAGAACTGATCTCTGCCCACCTGTGTCCAGACTTGATAAATGACCCCAAAGTAGAAAGTAGACACTCATCTCTGCTCACCTAAGAAGAACTTGTCCCTTTCTAGAATTTAGTTTCTTTACATTACTTTTTGTCTACGGCTTGCTGACGTTTTAAAAAATATGATTGCTTAGTTTATCTGACTTTTTATCTGTTATTGTGAAAATATTGCCTGTCATGATCTTTCTCCTAAATAGAAGCGGAAATCCTTGAGCTTCTTTAAAACTATCTTGTGGTACTATCTATGAAATTCATTGTAGGATTATTATTTAATCAAAATTTATAAGTCTTTTGGTATTTTAATAGCTAAACTTCCTTAGATTGTGGCAAAGAGTAACTTATTTTACAAATTTCTACTGTGCCATAAGAATTCTAGTTTCCTCAAAAACATTTTTATAAAGGGACATTGAAGTGTAAATCATAATATATAAGTAAAGTTGGGATATTTTATAGGTCAAATCAATAACTAAATGAAGCAGCTATTACAACTTTTTTTGGCATAGCTACTGTGATTTTATTGTTCTGGTTTGTTCAATATCCATTGAGGTGTATATTTTTATAACTTTTTTAACTTCAAAATGACTGTGCAGGGAGGGGTACAAGAAAGATATTAGTGAACTTTTGGATTTGTGTCACTTGGGTGACTATAGACTGAAAATCATCAAAGCTCTAAAAATACTCTTGTGCAGTTGTTAACATTTTGAATTTTATTAAATAATGCCCATTTAGCAGATATTAACATTAGATTGTTTCTAAATAATACTATTAGACCATTTATTAGTTTTCTGTGGAAAATATTATTTTGCACTAATCAATATAGAAATGATTGATGAAATTATAGTCTAGAAAATTAGAGTGAACTTCTAGAAATTTAAAAATGTCCAATGGGCTAACTTATTGAAGTATGGTACTCTAAGATTTTAATAGTATACTGGAATATAAGGGTATATTCATTTATGATAACTGATGCATGATAGATTCCAGCTATGTATTATCTTTATTGCCAACTTTTTTTTTTTGAGTTGGAGTCTCACTCTGTCACCCAGACTGGAGTGCAGTGGCCGCTCCCGGCCACCGCAGCTTCGACCTGCTGGGCTCTGGTGATCCTTCCGCCTCAGCCTTCCAAGTAGCCGGAATTACAGGCATGCGCTACCACACCCGGCTGATTTTTTGATTTATTGTAGAGATGAGGTCTCGCTGCCCAGTCGGATCTCGAACCCGCGGACTCAGGCAATCCACTCACCTCAGCCTCCCAAAGGCACGGGATTACAGGCTGAGCCACCGAGCCCGGCTTATTGCCAACTTTTAATGACAGTTTATTCAAGGGTGTTTTCCCTGCCCCTTTATTTCCCCTTTTTTGATCTGAACAATCTTCACTAAATAGTTTCAAGAATCTTTGTTGCATGGTTTTTTTGTGGAGACTAATGAACTTGGAAAAATTCTAGAGTCCTTTCATGATTGTAATTTTACTTAATATTTTTTGAAGGAAGAAGATATTTTGGATCTTCTGGAGCAATGTGAAATTGATGATGAAAAGTTGATGGGAAAAACTGCCAAGCCTCGAGGACCGAAGGTGCGGTATCTCCACCTCCTTTGTATCAAAGTAGATGCCACTAAGTACAATTGTTTTTCCCTTGATATCTCTCGGTGTAAGAATGACTGGTGCCACGTTCAAGGAACTGCAGGGACTGTGTGCCCAGCACAGGTAGAATTGGGAAGAAAACATTACTTTATACCCAGGACAAGTTTCATTTTGCTTCGTTAAGTTTCCTTCATATTTTGTTTCTTTACTTAATGCTAGCTAAAGCCCTTGAGTCAGAGCTAAGAGGAAACTGGATCTAGCCCCCTTATTCTGAACTAAATATTACATTTTCCTCATACTTCTAGACAGATGATTAGTAAGGAAATGTGTAGCCTTACAGATGAGGCAAATCATGACTCCAAAGATTTTACTGGGAGTCCCATCCTTTATTGAGCCAGCAACATTGGTAGCGAGTTAGTTAAAATAGGCATAGTTCCTAGGAATAAATAGAAAGCTGTCATGTGGACAAAGGTGGGTATGTGGTTGCTTTATCTGTGTCTGCACTGTGGGGATGACATCCATAGGTTCTTCTGATATAGGTCAAAGACCTTGCTGGTAGAGTAGGAATGAGTTGCATTTGAAAAATCTTGAACATTTTCCCCATTCTGTTCCTTTTACTTTCTATTTCAGCATTAGAAAGCCATCTCTATGTCCTTAGACACATCACGCTCTGTCATGTTTTCATGCTTTTCCTTGCCTCTGGAATGCCTGCCTACTAAAAAAAAAGAAATCGTTGATTTTTTTTGGCTTGATTAATTAGAGGCCCCCTTCCTAATTCAGCCAATCCATTGCTCTCCCCTGTTAGGCTTGGCTCTTCCTTCTCCTCCTTTTCCTGATGGATATAAAGAACACTTTTATAGAGCAGTTGTGACAAATGATTAGTTGCATGTTTGCCTTGGTTTGAGGTTATAATCCCTTGAGGATGGAGGTGGACTTTCTTTGCATCTCTGGAACCTGGCACATAGTATGTCTCAACATCCATTAGTTAAATTTGTTATGTGTGTCCACAAGGACCTCATCGACTAGTGGAAGAACAGAGAGGTAAACCCCAAATCAGGGTATAATGTGGCAAGTACTGTAGTAAAGGGGGTGTAAAGTGCTACGAAGCATAGAGGAGAAAGGACTCGGTGAAATGTAGATGGCTTCAGAAAAGCCCTTTGAAGGCCATTTCAAGGCCATTCATTGCCTTGAAAAATGAGTAGTGCTGTAAGCATTGAAGAGGGCTGGAAGGATATTTAGGGTAGATGGAACATTAGAAGCAAAAGCATGGAGGTGTGGCATTGCAGAGGGTGTTGTAGAAACAGTGAGAAGTTTGGAATGATTCAAGTGGAAGGTTCCTGGACAGTGAAGTGGTGCAGGATGAGCATGGTGAGAGATGCCATTCTGGTGGAGGTCTTTTTTTTTTTGCCCCTCAATTTTTATTTTAAAGATGTGGGGTACAATTCAGGTTTAAGGAACTCAAACATGTTGATAAAAAGAAAATAGCGAACAGCCCTATATAAAAGTCGGCAAAGATATGAATAGACACTTCTCAAAAGAAGACATATGAGCAGCCAACAGGCACAAGAAAAAATGCTCAGCCTCACTAATCATCAAAAAAATACAAATTAAAACTACACTGAGATACCACCTAACTCCAGTCAAGATGGTCATCATAACTCAAAAACAACAGATGCTGAAGAGGATGCAGGGAAAGGGGAATACTTCTAAACTGTTGGTGGGGTGTGAACTAGTACAACCTTTGTGGAAAACAGTGTGGTGATTCCTAAAAGATCTAGAAATTGACCTTCCATACGACCCAGTAATCCCCCTTCTGGTGGACATCTTGATGTCAGACACTGTCCTCAATGATGTGTTCTATTTTGAGGCATTGTGGAGTATGTCATGGATAATTCCTTTTAAACAAATATATTTTAGAGTATCTGTACAAGTGAATATTTTCATGAATCATGGCATCAGTATGGGAAACACTGAACTGATTCTCAATGGAGAATCTAAGAAATATTAATTAGCTGTGTAAATAATAAATACTACATAAAGTATTCGCAATGGTCCTTTTCAAGAGTGGTAGTAGATATGTGAGTGTTTGTATTGTTTTGCTATTCTTCATACATTTATACATATTTTACATATGACCTATTTCTTAATAAAATGTGACATAAAAATAAATAGTATGACTTTGTCAAAACTCAATGCCAGCTAGCAAATTCCATTTTGTAGTTAAGGCACTATTTAAAATGTATGCTGCTGTGACTTCCAGTTAATTGTTGTTAAGCAGTGTAGTGGTCAAAAATTCCCAAGTGCATATATGACACAAAGGTCCGGCTATCCTTTTCCCCTTTTGATTCTTTACAGGGTTGAATAACTCATTACGTAGTCAAGCTCCTTAAGAAATCTTAAAGTTGTTTGCTACATGAAGGAAGGCACTGCTAACAAGCCTAATCGTGCCACTGTTTCTTTGGTATGCTAAACTTCTGAAGAAACATCCTTCCTCTAGAATTCATATTCCCCAAGACTGTCAAATGTTTGATGATTGTTACTGGTAAACGTTTGTATGGATCTCTCTCTGAGCATTGCTAGTGCTCAGTAAATATTAGACCATCAAAAGGAGAACATACTTTTTAAAACACAAGTTCACACCTTAGTGTATTAAACCACTTTCCTGCTTTGATTATTTTTCATCCTTTGCAAAGGCTATGAATTTAAGACCATACTTTGGCTTACTGTGTATTCCAGGCACTTCATGAAATGCTGTTTCTCTCCTTATCTTTCATCCTTCCCTGTTACACTAGAGAATATACCTTCTTTCAGTGAAAATCCATGCTATCCAAGGATTTCATTATAGTGCATGCTAACATCAAAACATTTTTGTTTGATTTACCAGAGAACAAGCGACTAGTATACAATCGCAGGAACCTCTCCCTGTAGGAACTGGAGGCATATGATGTGTGTAATAAATAGTCTCTTTAAGTGACTGAGTTACAGAAGTGTCTAGTTCTTGTTTATGCACATTCTTCAGAAGTGAAACTGTCTCATGTCCCTTCTCTGTCCTTCCTTCAAATAGTATCACTGGAAACATATTGATTGGGTTGACTGGAAACAAGTAATTCTTATAGGGATGCTGGCACATAAAAGCATGGCATTTTGAATCTTTACAGATTTCTCTCTCTTTTTTTTTTTTTTTTTGAGTTGGAGTCTCACTCTGTCACCCAGACTGGAGTGCAGTGGCCGCTCCCAGCCACCGCAGCTTCGACCTGCTGGGCTCCGGCGATCCTTCCACCTCAGCCTTCCGAGTAGCTGGAACTACAGGCGCGCGCTACCATGCCCGGCTATACAGATTTCTACATGGCACCTATCCTCTAACAAAATTATGCCATACTGATTTTCACATTGTATTGTTATCGTTTTTTTAATTTTTCCTGTGTTTTGTTATTTGTTTGTTTATGGACATCCTGACCCTTTATTCCAATCATATAGAAACAGCACCCGTACTCCTCATCATGACTGAGATATATCATCCAAGAAAGTGTTATTTTGCAGAAGCAAAACAATTAGTAAATAGCATTGTAGGCTAAGCAGCACGGTAGC